GAACAGACCGAGAGAGAGAGAGAGAGAGAGAGAGGCGACAGCTGAGAGACAGCTCAGCAGCCCCTTTGGCCGCCTCCTAGCCAGTTGGTAGCTCCTTCGAGGATCACCGCACGCCGGTACCAAGAGCCTCTTCCGTCAAGGTCGCGGCGAGATCGTCACGGTGTCGTCACAATATATCGCTGATTGTCGAGCGTGAAGCGGAGAATTTCGGATCACGGGCACGGGATGAAGACGTAATTGATTTACGGGAATTCTGCCCAGCCATTCCCAACCATTCCCAACCATTCCCAGCCATTGCCAGCCGGGAACCTCTGACCCCCACCCCATTTGCGTGTTTGTTTTCGGTGTGTCGTCGGTGGACGGAGAGGTGTCTACCCCGTGACGGCTTCGTTTACCGTCTGATCTCGGTAGAAGGCTGCGGAGAGGGAAGTATCGCGGAGGATCGTGGCGGTCGAGGCGTTGACGTTAATGGTGTAGGATCTTCCGTTAAGTACTCCATTCGTAGATAATCACGCGTAAAGGATGAGATTTCGAAAAGACAGACAGCTTTCCTACAGTTTCTGATCCGTATCGGTATCTTAATGTCATCGATCGAAAATTTCACCAATCTTATCTACGATCGATCTTCTAATTGCGAATCAATGAAAAACCAATTTCTCATCGAGTCGAAGAGAAGACCGGCGCGAGTTAAAGCACAAGGGAAGCTTCGCACCCCATCGATCCCTATCACTGTCCTTTTAACGTAGCGAAAAAGGCGTCGGGAATCCCGTGACTCGGTAACCGATCCCGATATAATATCTCGCCGCAAAAACCAACAGGTCCGCGGCGTCGTCGGCGGCGCGAGTGTGAAACAGCATGTGGGCGATGCGTATCTCGCGTCTTGTGGGGAGCCATGAAAAGGGGGCGTTCTCGGGAACCCGCAAATAAATGCAAATTGCCGGCGGACCTGCGATCCGCCTACCTGACACAGCGGAGGAAGACAACACAGCCCCGGAACACCGTTACACCGTAAATAATCCACCCCCTTCGAGCATCCGACACCCCTTCCCTTCGATCTTCTCCCTCTCCCGGTGTTCCCGAACTTTTTCCCATTGAAAACGAGCCCACGGCGTCGATGTGTAAATAAGGGATCGTAAATATCCAGGCGGGCCGTATAATGGATCCACATGAAGATGCGGTTCGATGCTCGGACCGTAAATCATCTGTTGCCGTGGTCCCGTCGAATCGGCAGGGCCCGGCGACGATCGGAGAAATTGCGGTTTCTGGACGCTCAGTGGTTGCGGTCGGGTCGCTCATTGTTCACCGGCTTCGATTCCGTCGCCTCCGCTGGCTGTTGTTCCAGTACAATCGAGCGCTGCGATACTCGCGCTAATGGCGGACACGACGAAAGCGGAGAAGTCGGCAGAGTCGGAAATATTATGAGGCGGCTTTCGAGGAAAGTCAAGTCGACGTCTCTTTGTTCTTCACGAGAGGCAGAGACGAAACTGTCGGAAATATTATCAGGTAGTTTCGGGGGAAAACGGAGTTGATACTTTCGCGTCTTCTTCCGGAAGAAATTTAGCTGATAAGATGGATTCCATGGTAACTTCGATTATGGTTCGTAATCGAGGAAGAAAAACGTTCGGCTGTTCGCCGCCGAAATGTTGTCACGGGGGCGCAATGGGATCTATCTCGACACGGGGAGCCATACAGCGTTTCCGAAACAGTTCATTTTTTGCCAGCAAACAACTCAGCGGACGGGGGTTCTTTGCCGGTCTACAGGAAGCGACTTCGATACGACTTTGACGAGGATGTTGACAGACCCGCAGCGGCAAGACCGCGGGGGTTTCTCTCGTCCACGGAGTTTGGCCGTGTCTTTTGCGAGGAGATTAATGCTTTAAAAATAGAACCTGATAGTATCGTTGATTCAGCATCGTTTCCATAGATCGGTTATCTATTTCGAAGTTACGTATCGAGGAAAAACTAACGCATTGTTCGAAAACTCAGGATTACGAATATGTTTCTCTTCTCGCGACAGGCTAGAGACAGGAGTCGTGTCAACATCACAGCAGCAGCCCTTCACTTGTTGCCGTCCTCAACCCCCGCCAGCGCAGTCTGAAAGCAACCCCGTCAAGGATGTTGACGGGTGATCAGCGGGATGTCCTGTAAACCAGAAAACTTCCACCGTCCGGAACTGCGAAAAGCTCCTGGAAGTTGCGCGTCCGAGCCAGAAGGTAGTCCCGACCGCGTTAAAGCCTAACTTTTGGCCACTTCTCGTCACGGACCGCTGTAGTTATCGCACGGGGAATTATTCAGGCCTTCTTTTCATCTCGCAATGGCGTAACAAAATGGCTACGGGAGCTCGCCCCAATGGTGGAAGATAAATTTCGCAACCGTTTCAAAGGAACTGGACAATCCAACTTGTATTCCCGAAGAATCCTTTGATCTCTTACAATTCTCGCGCACCCTTTATCGTCTCGTCTTGCTCGTAAACAACCGTGGTCCCTCGACAAATGCGTCTCGAAACGAGACGTTCGAGTCGGTACAATGATAATTCACGTTAAGCAATAAAATATTAAATTGCTTGAATGGTTTCCAATGAAATGCGC